CATAAGCGAACACAAACAGACACATACACATACAGAGACAGACACACTCACATGCATCGAAGTTGACATAAGACCGTAACTAACCAACTCACTTTATACCTGATCAAAGAGACCAGATGTAAAGTATAGATACCACTTTTTAGCGATTCGTCAGCTTCAATTTGGTTGTGAAGATGATGTTCGTCACTTGATCAAGAGGAATCCGCTGTCGTCTTCTGGTGGAACCGAACTTCGAAAATCTTCATCCAAAACTCTTTCACTCGAAATGGAAGTAAGCTCAACAACTACACTTTCTAGCCCAAGAACTGCCTACTAGTGCAAACTATATTTTTATATATTCTTGCTGAAAAGAAATAAACCAAATAAGTAAATAAATAAATTATAAATCTGTCTGTGCTGTCGTGTCGCATGACCCCCTGCCTCGAGTCCCGTTGGGGATGCCGAAGAGGCCGTGAAGTGAGAATACAAAAGTAAGGCACTTTCACTGCCATTTTTAGGACTTCTGTGTTGATTGTGGAACAAGTCTACAAAAAATCCTCAACTCATAGTCCTAGTGTTAAAGAACTGACGCTTCGATTTTCCCACACTCAGACGAGGAAGCCTACAGTTTTCATTAAATTTCCCATGGCTTTGCTGCCCACAAGCTATTCGTATCTCGGTCGGACTGAAGTATGGTTGCGGCCTTGCACCCTTTATATGAATCGAGAAAGAAAGGCCACGCTTTTCAATAATCTACTTATAAACGCAAAATAAGTAATATAGGCAGTTGCATGAGCAAAAACAACTTTGTTTCGTTAGAATCCCACCACCGAAATGTGATATAGGAAGGTTTAGATTTCCTTGAAATTCACATCTTTTCTGTGACACAAGATCATCGGTGACAGCTTGGCGTAGTGGTTCACGCGTCAAGACTATACGCCACACCAGATGTCAAAATTGCAGTCCTGGATGAAAATAGTTTCTGGGGAGCAAGATTATGTGAAATTCAGTTGAAATGTGAGAATTGCTCATAGGGTCTTTCAATACTTTCAACGATACAGGACGAATAAATCGAGTCTTTATGCTCGACTGGAAGTCTTACAAGCCTAATTATTAACGAGATGTACCAAATTGATGTTGGAGTACCGTTAATTCAGTTTGAAGAGGCGATTGGTCTCACCGGATTCGAATCGGGGTTGCCCTGGAACCGTGTCGGCAGCTTTGCACGTACATGTCATCGGGTTGCCCTGCCACGACCTCGAAGAGCCGGTGTGGAGCTTTAGTTCATGATGTGACGGACCGTGTCAGAACAGGACACACAGTTGTACGATAATTGACCAGAAGACGAGAGCAATTAAGGTGATCGGGTGTGATTCCACTTATTGTATGCTTTTCCTGCATGCTCGTTGAAAAATGAAGTGGCTGCAGATGAAGAGGGAAACGGATGCATTTGTGGCCGAACGGCTACCTCCTCTCTTAAATCACTTTTGAAAACCAGTTTCTCTACATGCCTACAAAGAATACTGAACTTTGCGTCTGTATGCACATACATGTATGCTGACATGAAGGCATACAAGCATATATAAATCATATACACGTACATGGTTGAAATGGTCAAATCACTTTATGTCTCACTAGCATGCATTGGCTTATGGTACATTTGGTGGAAAGGAAAAGCCGAAGAGTTTTCTCGATTAGTCAACCTGAATATATGGTTTTATGAATGACGTCATCCCACGATGATGTCCGGCCACAATGGACGAAAGATTAGGATTTTTCACCGGAACCTCAGAAGATCACAGTAAAGTCAATCGACATTTGACCAAAAGAACTCTGTCCTTGTCTTCTGGTACAATCGCCACACGGAAATCTCATCACACACCCACAGACACACACGCTTTCACACGAATTGGACGTGAGTTCAACAACGGGACTTCACCCAACCAGTTTCAATTTTCACTCTTCGGGTCACTTGAAATTCGGCCAAGTTGAAGCCTCCGTCACGAAGCCGTGGCCCGATCGTCTATCTATGCGTCTTTGTGTTTGTTGCCACAGTTGCACCCCATTCGACAGAGTTGACCCAACCACCGAGTGAAGGGCGCCAGGATTTTACGTGTGTTTACATACTTGATTGCATCAGTTGTGCTTCTCATATCGGGTGTGATTGCTTTTGCTCTAACTTCGAGCTATCGGACAGGACAGAAAAATGACAGAAATGAGTGTTCGCACAAACACACACAAATACACACACACACACATATGCGATATTTCCTATCTCCATAAGAGCGTTTACGTAAGCATATACTTGACGAGTGTGGACGGTGGTTGATTTGTCTATGAAATGATACCTCATAAATATATGCAATCACGCGCAAAAATATATAAACAAATGCACACTCATTCACACACATACACACACACGAGTGAGTGAATGGCATCACACTGGCTGTAAACATTCGCTAGACAAGGGGACGAACAACTTGTATCCAGCCGACAAGCCCACAAGTGCCCATCTTGCCTGCGAACCCGGCTGGCCGAGCCTTGGAGACGTCGAGATAAGGTTGCCAAGGTGCAGTGAATGAGTACCTGTTGGACGGCCTCCTCTCAAATCACACCGAGTCGGGGCAATAACGAGTCCGACTCGGCGAACGGGCCTATGTCTCCGTGCTACATGTGCCCACAAGCCGGCGAACTTTTGTGAACAACTGACTGTGTACAGGCGGACATTGTGCAACTGTACGCACCACAAAATGAGTGAACCTGCACACGAACCTGATCAAAATCCC